GGTGAGTCTCTCAGCCCGGCAGTCAGACATCCCCCGAGGGAGGTAGCAGTGCACCAAGTGGCAGGCAGCCAGGGAGAAGCCCAAATTGGGGCCAGGTGCCACGCCGCTTACGCTCATCCTGGCCCACTGCACCTGTTGCTGCTGCTCAATAGTGCTGCTGCAGTGTCGGGAGAGGCTCCCGCCACCACTGTAGCAGCTGTGCTCGCCAGCCATGAGCCTGGCTTCTGACTGAGCAGCGCTCCCCTTGTGGGATCGCACTAACCATCAGGGGCAGCTACTGTGTTGAGCGTCTGCCCCTGGTGGTCAGTGCACATCATAGTGACCAGTTGTTCTGGTCATTCCATCGTAATGGTTATTTAGGCTTTTATATGTATCGATGAGCCCATTATAAAGTGTCTAGTACAGGGATCCCATTTCCAGTCATTGTCACTTTAAGAGTGAGAGAAAAAAAACTCCTCTATAAATTCTCCAGTGTGTTCAGGTGGGATTAAGGCAGCGGTTCTCAACCTGTGGGTCACAACCCCTTTGGCGGTCAAACGACCCTTTCATAGGGGTCGCCTAAGACCATCCTGCATATCAGATATTCAGATATTTACATTACGATTCATAACAGTAGCAACATTACAGTTATGAGGTAGCAACGAAAATAATTTTATGGTTGGGTCACAACATGAGGAACTGTATTTAAAGGGCCAGAAGGTTGAGAACCACTGGATTAAGGTGAAAGTCTTTGGCAGTGGCTTATATCCTAAAAATTCAAGTTCCTAAATAGCATTCTTTTCTGCTTTATGGTTCTTAATGTTGCAAGATTTTGGTTTATTCTTGCTTTTAAATGCAAATAGACCTGATATGTGAATTATTAATTAAAAGTTTCTTTTTAACTTAGAAAAGTTTATCTAAATCAAATTAGTCCTCTTTAGAACAAGGTTCCCCAGTAAATTGTATCCATCTCAACATCCCAGCTTTCAAGGAAATTATATTTTCCTTCTCTCATTTTTTTGCCTCTATTTCCATTCTTCTGTTTCTAATCTGGAGTCAGACGTGCTACCGTTGCGCCACGAGGCCCTCATTCTTCTGTTTCTAAATGTTACTAATAGTTTCCCTTGGATTCTTGTTTGGTGTTTTTTTTTTTAATATATTTGTATTGATTTCAGAGAGGAAGGGAGAGGGAGAGATAAAAACATGGATGATGAGAGAGAATCATTGTTCGGCTGCTTCCTGCATGCCCCATACTGGGTATCGAGCCTGCAACCCAGGCATGTGCCCCGATGGGGAACTCCTGGTTCAGAGGTCAAAACTGGGCTTCGCATGGATTCTTTAGCTGGTGTTCAAAGTTAAGAGCAATCTGAGATGCTACAAAAACTACAGAAAATTGTGTCTGATATGTTTGACATGGGCTGCTTCTCCTTAGCCGTATCTTTAATCTGGTACAGATGGGTGGGCCTGGGGGTAAAGGCCATGACCCTCTGGGTGTGAGAGTATATCAGGTTAAGGACTCTTGACTCAGCAGCAATAGCTAATTATCCAGGCCCATCTACCCTCTATGCACACACTCTGGTATGACAGTGATGCGAGGAGAGGCAGATACTAATTGCAGTAAGTAATAGCAAGAGGGAAGAGGAACAGTTTTAATTTATTGAGTCTTTTTCTTGTACCAGGTTCTCTTTCAGATTCAGACACTCATTATAAAACTTACTCTCTCCTCCCTAGCACCTCTTTGAGGTAGGCAGGATTGTACCTGTCTTACTGATAGAAAACATGGGTTATGTTAAGAAGGTTGGCCAGTTTCACACAAACAGGGAGCTAGAGCAAGAATTTAAACCTAAGCCTGTCTGATTTGAAAGCCTTGTTCTTGAACTGCTATCCCATATTGCATGTGATTTATATGGGGGGAGGAGAGTGTGAGGCGTGTGGATGTATGTGCATATGTGTTTAATTTGCAATCTGTACTGAGGTAAGATCCTGATGTGGATGTTAAGTTACACAAGAGGAAGAAATAGCCAAAACATGGGACAAGATTATAGAGCTTCCCCGAATCTGACTTAGATCACAGCCTTGGTGTATTCATATGTGGTGCACTATTTCACCTCGTAGTTCTTACTTTGTCTCGGTACATTAAAGGTTCAATTATCCATGTAAATGGAGAGTAGCCACATGTGAATAACTCTATAAAGAATCAGCAATCTAAGGAGCATTTCAGTAGCAGTTTGCCATTTATATGTGATTTGTTTGGGGTAGATTTATATCCCTAAATATGTTTGCTTAGTCATCCCAGAATTGTAATGGATGGGCCTGTCCCCAGAGCAAGCAATGAAGTGAATTATCCATAGGAGAATATCAGACAGTTCATCCCTAAGGAAGAGCTTTTAAATTTATTTAAAAACATAGCTTCAGAAATACTGATACCTTTTCTCCCCCACCCCAAATTTATTTAGAACTTATGCTATCAGGAAGATAAGAGATGCCTTCAGAGAAAATAAGAATATGAAAGATCCTGTAGAAATTCAGGCTCTAGTGAATAAAGCCAAGGGAGACCTGGAAATGATTCGTCGACAGGTAAGAAAGTTCAATGATGTACTATTTTTCATTAAGAGTTTAAAGCTTTGACACATCCCCTTGAATGCATGTCACTATTTTTGGTATTTATGATTTACACAGAATCATGAGACTGTTCCTTTTACTCATATAAACATAGAAAGATGACCTATTATATTATTGAATTCAAGGAGAACATAAAGAAAAATATCAGCTTTCCAGAGTTTCCAGGGAATGCATCCTTTGGGAAGCTAAGTTCTCACATTTAACTAAAGGTTGATGCTTTAAGTATGGGAACCTTCCAAAAACTGTTCTCTTTGTAAGATATATTACACATTTGTATATGGACATATACTTGGTGATGAGTATAAATGTATTCTACTTTTCTTAGTATTTTAAAATCATAGTTCAAGATAAGATTGTCTTGAAGACATGGTCATTGGTGAGGAAATGAATTTTGTTGCCACAGGGAAGGTGTATCTGCAGGTGGAAATGGTGTGAATAGCTGCCTTGGCATTGACCCCATAAAGGACCCTGGAAGGTGCTTTTGTTTTCATCTTGTAGAAGTGCCAGGGATCACCTTGATTTGTGCTTGTCTTTCTCTTTCTCTTGAGGTAGAGTGGAGCAGTTGCTACAACATGGTCTCTGGGTAGTGCGATATATCCATCCTTCTGCAAAATTCATTGGAAAGCTAAAGACTAAAGTAGCTTACTATCAGTTGGCTTTCTCACTCTCTAAAAAAACATATACTTTTCACTATTTTCCTTGAATTTAGCAGTAATCACACCATAAGCTTCATTTCTACTTCTATTTGTTTTATTCTCTTACTTTCAGTAAATTTGTTTATAAAGTGTGGAAGGGAAGTTCCTTGCCATTTTGCTAATTTCTGTTTGTGTTTTGGAAAGAACTTCTTTAGCGTCATGAGGAAATGCCAGCTTGACTAACATTATATCATATCATAATATATTAACAATCATATCATAATATATTAACATATCTTCATCATGCTTGCCTCTAAACAGAACTCAAAAAAAAAAAGAGAAGCAGTATTAAAAACTGTAGTTTTCATTTTATATCAAAACTAGAGACCCAGTACACGAATTTGCATACCAGTGGAGTCCCTTGACCTGGCCTGCAGGATTGGGTTGAAACCGGCTCTCCAACATCCCCCAAGGGTTCCTGGATTGTGAGAGGGCGCAGGCCAGGCCGAGGGACCCCACTGGTGCATGGGGGCTGCAGAGGGATGCAAGAGGTTGGCCAGCTGGGGAGGGCTCCAAGACATGTCCGGCCCATCTCGCTCAGTCCCAATCAGCCGGACCCCAGCAGCAAGCTAAGCTACCGGTGGGAGCATCTGCCCCTTGGTAGTCTGTGCATGTCATAGCAACTGGTCAACCAGTCGACTTTCTGCCCCCCTGGTGGTCAGTGCATGTCATAGCGAGGGGTTGAGCAGCCTTAGCATAGCATTAGCATACTACGCTTTGATTGGTTGAATGGACAACCAGACACTTAGCTTGGTAGGCTTTTATTATATAGGATTAGAAGTCTTGTTCTATTGCCTATATAGTAAAACAGTCTGTTCCAGAATACCATTTCAGGTTCTGGTGACCCTCCTTGAGTTCTGTAGTTATTTAGCAATAAAATAACTTTGCCACATTCAGACAAGCCTAGGAAATTATCTTTGACTAAGGTAAATGGGTGGAAAAATAAGACCTGTGGTGGAAAATAACTCCTATGCTTAGGATAGTTTACAAAGAAACTGATCTGCACATTTGCATATACTTTGAGAGTAGCAGATTAATGAGTCGCATTTTGAGAACTAGAACAGTGGCACTACCCAGGCATCAGTGGTTGAAATTTGTAGAACCTTTAACATTGGAACTTGTCCTTCTTTTGCATAAACTCAGAAAGATTTACCTCTTTGGCTCTTTCCCATGTAAAAGTTGGCAAGCATCACCAACACAGGCTGGTTTCCTCTCCTAGTGTAACTTTGCTCGGAGTAGAAAATGCTTAGAAAAGGTTACCTGTAAGTAATCTGTTCCACCATTTCAACTGTATCTTCATTTTGAAATGCTCAAACTACCCTCTAAAAAAAAAAAAAGACTAGATTGGCCGTCATCAGACATCCCCAGTGAATCCACTTAGAGAGAGGCCCAGTGCCCAACCCAGGATTGCCAGTGCCCAGAGCTTCCATAGTAACTAGTACATCAGCTAGTAACTAGGTGACTGATCATGTGATCCCTAAAGGCCCTGCTCAGAGAGGCCCTGACAAGTGAAAGCATTCTCATTCAATCAGAGAACTAGTTAGCCAATTATAGGTCAACAACTGGGAGGTTTCTGTTCACTTCCCTTTCACATCAAGACTGTTCCTGAATTCAAGAATAACATTTACCATAGTTGGCTTATGAGCTGTAGTGGACTCCTGGAGCCACCTCACTCTAAGCTGGTAAACTTGACCTTGGCGAAAAGGCCTAAAATAAAGTAGCATCTGTATTTCCTTCTCACTGGCCAATGTAATAACCTTCTAACTTGCTCCAATTGGCCTTGTCCTGAAATGTTCTATTCTTCACACGCTGCCAGAATGATGTTTATAAGGAAAATCAGAGCAGGTTTCACACGGGTCACAGTGCTCCAGGGGCTTCGTTGCACTCTGACAGTGAAATATGATGTCCTTATGAAGCCCTCAAAGGCCCTCCATTGCTCTTGTCTCCCTTGCACTATGTACCTTCTTCATATCCCTTGTATATCTCCAGCTTGTTCCCATCTCAGAACCTTTGCACCTACTGCCTGGACTAGTTTCTCCCCTTTTCGATTCCCCTTTTCCCTCAGACTTTTGCTCAGACTTCACTTATCACAGAATCTAAAATAGCCTCCTTCCCTCTGTCACTCTATCACCTTACCCTGCTTTAGTTTTCATTACAGCACTTATCGAACCAAAAATAACATTACTGTTGTCTGTTTTCTCCTTTCCTGTGAAGACAGGGATCTCACCTGTCATGGTCACTGCTACCTGGTATGTAAGAGCATGGGCTCTGGAGCCAGCCTGACTGTGTTCAAATCCTTATTCAACCTACTGTGACTTTGAACCAGATATCTAACTTCTTGGTGCCTTGTGTAAAGTACAGATAACAACAGGCCCAACTCCATGGGTTATAGTGAGGATCAAATAAGTTAACATATGTGAAACCCTTAAGAGGGTGCTAGCACATAGTAAATATGGACTAGCCTCCTCTAAACTGAGCTTTCCTGTCTGCTCCCAAGTCTAAGACAGAGTACATAAATCTCGCTTCTGACTGCCTTATTATTTTTTAAATATGTAGATTGATGCTTTGGTCTAATTTTGGTTTATCTATATAGGTATAGGGGTAAGTACTATATATATAGTCCATGTTCAAAGGCTGTTATATCGTGTTGCTTACCCATATCTTCAGAAAAAAATCACTTCTGTCGTGGTAAACAACCTGCTTCCCTATTTATAATGGTCTGGCCCTCTAGCAACTTCAGCGCGAAATTATAGCTAATTTGCCTACAAACATCAGGTGGTCATAATAATCTGGCCACTCAGTGTATATTTCTGTTCTATTAAATGAGTGAATAATAGATGGGATCTAGGATGGAGACAAGGAGTTTATCTCCAAAGAGTCAAAGTGAGAAAGAACTTCTACAAGGTTCTGATGGACCTCATAATTCCATCCCAACTTTTCCTCCAAAAAGCTCATAAGGTCAATTCATAATTATATTTATTGAGTGGGTACTCAATAAATGTTTAGGAAAAGAAATTGTGGGCACAGAATTGCAATATATACAGTATATTTGATTTATTGAGCGGCTTGTGTTTAATGTAGCAAAGAAGCCAGTCAGGCAGCAGGAAGAAGTCAAATTAGGAAGAAACTAGTATAGACATTAGGACTTCAGGAAAGCATTTTAATCTTTCTTTTTTCTATTACTTAAAACATTACTGCTTTTCAACTGCTATTTAATTTTCTTTGAAAGAAGATGCTCTGCTTAGAGATAGGTGCTAGTGCTGGTGATGGGTCATCTACTGGAAAGGTTGGGACCAAGAGAAGTTTTTGGAATTCATGATGGTCAAAACATAGGGTGGGGCAAAAGTAGAAGCACCCAATTTATCCTCACTGTACAATTACATACTACACCAACAATATATTTTTCCATCCAAATACTTAAGTGACAGATAAGGCTAATTCCAGTTCTAAATTTCTATAGTTCAGTATCTGTCCCCTTCTTCTTCACTTGCAGAAACTTACTGATACACTTTAGAGTAATTTACTCTATGCTCAGCTTTCCTTGACCATTTTTCACCAAGATCTTAACTCTGTAGTTTAGGCTACATGTGAGGAAAGTTGTAGCCAGCTATGGACAGGGTGGGGTGAAAGGGGTGAAAGTAGGTTTACAGTTGTTCATAGGAAAAATAAAACAATCTATAATAATAAAAGCGTAATATGCTAATTAGACCAGACATCCTTCCAGACATCCTTCCGAATGACCTTCCGGATGAAGCTGGGGCTGCGAGGGAAGCCCGGGTCCCCGGTTCCTGCCAGTGGCTGGAGGGAAGCCCAGGTCCCGGGTGCTGGAGGGAAGCTGGTGCCAGCAGCCAGGGGAAGGAAGACCTACTCTTGCATGAATTTCATGCATTGGGCCTCTAGTAATTAATAATAACCCAGAAATAAACTCTGTATTCCACATACTCTACTATAAACCTACTTTTTCAGTCTGTTCAATATATAGTTCCTCTGCAGCTATAAAAAGACTTCTTTTTACAAAAATTTAAACTAGTTGTCTCCCTCTCTGCTTTTCTAGAAATTCCAGTAAATCTTCCAGTCTGGGGCAATAATATGCCCACCCATAGGTGGCATTCTTGTAGAAGAAATGTCTCTTGGTTGAAGATTTCCCATTAAATTTACTTGATTCCTCCAAGGTTGACATACACAAAACAAGATTCCATTTCCTTTCTAGACAAAGCCTTGCTCACCTCTGCATTTTTCATATCTCATAATAGGTCTTGTGCATATTTCCATGTTTAGAAAAGCTCAAGAGGAAGGCACTGATAATGCTAATCATAGAAAGTTTTTGCACGAGTTTTATTTGGGAATTTTTATTATCCTCCCGTCTAGTTTGCTACAGCTGTTCACTCTTGAATTCCTTGAACTGTTTTTGTTTCTGAAGCATCTAAAGTGGAAGTAGATAGTAACAACTCTGGAGCAGAAAGTACACGGACCTCAGCTCTGATAGTAATCTCTTGTGTGATACTGGGCAAGTTGTTTATTTGCCTTATTTACCACATCTATAAAGAGATGATTTCATTGATGAAGGTGGTGGTGGTGATGTCAGTGTTCATTGTGCCCTCTGTATGTGCTGACACTAGGTGCTAAGCACTTTGAATATGTTGTCTCAGTTTCTCCTAACAGTAGCCTTCTAAGACCATACCAGTATCCTTGGGTTAGAAGAGGAAAGTCAGACTTGGCATGTTTTACTAGTTTTCCTGAGGACACACACTCAGAAGAATGGTGAGCCCTCATCTATTCTTATATTTCAGCCAGTTCTTAGAATAGAGATCAGACTGCACGTGGCCTTATTTTGGCAGAAGGTAAATGAGACTTTGGATGTGAGAGAAGACAAGATTTGTACTTCTTTTTCTAATTGCTCATTTAGAACTCTTACTAAAAGCTAACAGCTTACTGTCTGTAGTCTTATGAATAGTTTATCCCAGGGGCTGATCTTATTTATCATTTCTGAAAAACACTTTCACTCTCTCAGCCTTCAAAAGAAAAAGTACAAAAACCACAGTCTGAAAATGTTAAAGGTCAGCCACCTTATTTAAGAAGTGTTTGCTCAGAATTTCCCCACAGATCTGAAGGTTGCAGCTCCAATTGTGCTATTCTTGACAAGCTATCACTGAAGTGCCCTTCAGTGGAAACCTTTTGATGCCTTACTGCTTGGCTCATCCTTTCAAGCAATCAAAGTTAATTCAAGTCATGCTTATGCTGGAGATCTTCTCCCAAGATGACAAAGGAACAATGTCACATCTTCTAAGAAGGGTAATAGAAGGGGCACACCCTGTTCATGTTAATTTGTGTTTTCTCTACCACATCCTCTGAGGCACAGAGAGATACTGACACTCCCCCCAAGTCCAGGGTGTATATGAGAACATGTACTCATTTTCTGAGCATTTGATATCTGTAGTTGGATTTTTTTCAAATTTGATGGGTTTCATTTGTATGTATGTGTGTATATAAATATATATACACATATATAAAGGATAGTTTTATTTGTGCCTTTTGAAAGATTTCTCCTAATTATACCTGTATCATCCTAAAAAAAAATAACTTGTTTTATTCAAAGACATAATAATAGTTGGTAAGGAAAGAGGTTTTGAGCAAGATACACTAAATTTAAATTCTAACACAAGGATGATAGCTTCCTTAGTCATGATATTTAATCTTTCTTAAAACATTATCGTTTAATTTTTCTACTAAAGATAAAGAAATACCATTCTTAATGTTAGTTTTGTACTTGCTATGTTTTGGAAATATCAAAGCCAAATGGTATGTCAGAAATTTCAATTCTTCCTTTATCTGATAATTAAGGCTGTCATTTTATGGATTGGTCAGTTATAAATAATCAAAAAAAAACCTAAATATTCTCTAAGATGTACTATTGTAATAATCTTAGTTTTATTTAATAATGCTTGTACACAATTAAATCAGTATTTTAAATATTTTCCTTTTCTTCAAACATTTCCACTTCATAGAATACTTTTCTTCTCCCCACCCATCTCACCTCCTTAATGTAGTGAAAAAAGACTTACCCCAAGTCACATGGATTCCTCTTCAAAGCCTATCACAAATTAGTGATTGCACCATCAAAAATTCCCTGACCTTTTAGGCCTCATCTATAAAAAGTACACAATTGGGTGCGTTAATTCCAAGATCTCTAATAGCACAAGAATTTTTTTTATCAATCTGCTGTACTTAACAAACCTAAATGCCTTGTTGAAATTGGACTGGGGGTTTCAACAGGTTATTCCTGAATTTTACTAATAAGTTAGTATATTCCAGAATTGCCTGCGCGGAGGTAGATTTGCCATCAGAGCCCAATAAATAATCACTGAATGCTGTCTGGCCTAGGAGCAGCAGAGGTGGGTTCTGCTCCCAGCCGCCTCCTTGGCAGCTGGCAGGCAGTCCTCACATGCAGCCCTCCTCCTGTAGGTAAGGGGCAGGTCATGCCATGGCTCTCTAAGATCCCTTGCATGCCTGACATTTTCTGATTCTGAAAATGATCATTAGGTTACAGAACATACCTGTGAAGGAATTACAAACTATAAGGGTGAGTTATGTCACTGACCTTCTCTATTTACTAAATTGACTTTAAAAAGAAAGCTTGATTCCCAGATCTCACAGATAACATGTTTTGATAAGCGTGGGAGAGTAACTAGGTTACATAATGCTAAGTTATGTAATGTTTATTCTTCATAGTCAGCCTCAGCAAGGGAACCAATTCGAGAAAATACTTTGGCGATACTTCATAAAGCTTTTAACACTCAGTGATGACAGGAATGTTACATGGGTCAAGGTGAGGAACAGCAGTTGCCCTTTCATACAGGTGACAGGTTGTAGATAACTTATTGACAAATGAGGTTTTCTTCACTAGGACTCAACAAACCTAGAAAGAGTGGGATGGGGAAGGGGAGACTGTAAAAAGAGAAAAAAACACATTTTTCTCTAGCTTTGAACTGGGTTCTGTCTTAACAGTGCCAAACTTAGTGTTTTGCTTTTTTTCATAACTCTCGGCTATTATTTAAAGTTTGCAGCTAGCTTTGTAGCTGTATTTTTCATAATATTAAAGTATTTTTCTAATTGGAATTTTTTTTAAAAAACTGAGCTCATTTTCTCCTACAAGACATTGACCACTCTCTTCTTCTACTCTAGGCAGTTTAGCGGACCATTAGGAACATGCTTATTCCTGTCTGTTTCTGTACCGTGCGGAGCCTGTCGCATGGACATCATACTTTATGTCCTGCCTTCGCAGCATTTCTGTTGCTTCGTGAATGGAAGCACCTGAGTCTCACTTAAGCTGGATCGCAGGATCCTTGGGGGCTGGGCCTTCTGTGGCCACTGGACCAGCACAGCACCTGTACCCCACTCCTGAGGGAAGGCTTTCAGTGCCCTTCCTCCCCCTTTCTTGCCTGCTAAAATCTTACTGCCTTCTGGGCCACCAAACAATAAAATGTAACTATAGATTTATTACATGGCTTTGCAATGATGTATTAGTAAGTTATCTCTGCCCCTAACACTCTCACCTTCCAGAGAACCAGGGTTTCTTGTTCACCATGGTATTTCCAGTGCCTCAGAGATGTAGTAAACACTGCATTAATGCTTAAAAAGGCAAGGTGGTTTGGTAGGAAGACACAGAAGGAAACACTGGTTCTAGCCAATGCTCTACGTCTGACTCATGGCATGATCTCCAGTGAGTCGTGTTTGGTTTGGTTTGGTTTTTGTTTTTTTGGTCTTTTTATTAAAAATATGTTTTTATTGATTTCAGAGAGAGAAAAGGAGAGGGAGAGAAAGATAGAAACATCAATGATGAGAGAGAATCATTCATTGGCTGCCTTCTGCATTCCCCAGCCTGGGGATCTAGCCTACAACCCGGGTATGTGACTGGGAATCGAACTGTGACTTTCTGGTTCATAGGTTAATGCTCAACCACTGACCCACACTGGCTGGGCCAGTGAGTCGTTTTTTAAAGAACTTTAAATTTTATTTTTCAAATACAGTTTACATGCAACACTAGTTTCAGGTGTACAGCATAGTGGTTAGACAATCACATACATTACAAAGTGGTCCCCTCTATATTTCAAGTACTTACCTGGCAATATACATAGTTATTACAATATTATTGACTTATTCCCTAATGCTTTAATTTACATCCCTGTGACCTATTTTTTTCTAAAAGAATGCACTTTTTTAAAGATACGTTTTTATTGATTTGAGAGAGAGAAAGGGAGGTAAAAGGAGAGAGAAAGAAAAACATTGATGAGAGATTCATTAGTCGGCTGCCTCCTGAACACCCACTACTGGGGATCAAGTCCACAACCCAGGTATGTGTTCTAACTGGGAACCAACCAGCAACCTCTTGGTGCATGGGACAATCCTCAACCAATTGAGCCACACCAGCCAGGGCCCTGTGGCTATTTTGTGACTACCAATTTATAGTTCTTAATCCCTTCAACTTTGTCACTCAATCCCTCAACCCCTCTCCCCTCCGGCAAACATCAGTCTGTTCTCTGTATCTGTGCGTTTGTTTCTATTTTATTCATTTATTTTGCTCTTTAGATTCCACATATAAGTGAAATCAATATGCTACTTATCTTTCTTTGTCTGAATTATTTCACTTAGTATAATACCCTTGGTCCATCCATGCTATCAAAAATGGTAATATTTTCATTCTTATTTATGGCCAAGTTATACTCCATTGTATATAGGTACCCCCTCTTCTTTATCCATTCATCTATTGATGGACACTTAGGTAGCTTTCATATCTTGGCTATCGTAAATAATGCTACAGTGAACATAGGGGTGCATATTTTTTTTCAAATTAGTATTTTGGGTTTTTTCAGATATATATCCAGAAATGGAATTGCTGAGTCATAGGCAGTTCCATTTTTAACTTTTTGAGAACCTCATTCCAGTTTTCATCATGGTTGCTCCAAAGTGAATTCCCAACAACAGTGCAGGAAGGTTCCCTTTACTCCACATTCACACCAACACTTGTTTGTTAATGTATTAATGATACCAGTTCTGACAGGTGTGAGGTGATATCTCATTGTAGTTTTAATTTGCATCTCTGATGATTAGTGACATTAACCTTCTTTTTCTATATCTATTGGCTATCTGTTTGTCCTCTTTGGAGAAGTGTCTATTCAGGTCCTCTGCCCATTTTTAAATTTGATTGTTTTTTTGAGTGTTTTATCCATTCTTCATAGATTTGTATGTTAATCCCTTATGGGATGTATCAGTGGCACATAACCTTACATTCAGTAGGTTGTCTTTTTGTTTTGTTGATGGTTTCCTTTTCTATGCTAAAAGCCTTTTAGTTTGATGTAGTCCCATTTGTTTATTTTTTTCTTTGTTTTCTTTCTCTGAGGAAATATATCAGAAAAAAAACATATAGCTAAGGGAAATGTCAAAGATTTTACTGCCTGTATTTTCTTCTAGCAGTTTTATGATTTGGAGTCTTACATTTAAGTCTTTCTTCTATGTGATGTAAGAAAGTCTAGTTTCATTCAATATTCCCAACACCATTTGTTGAATAGACTGTCTTTACCTCATTGTATGTTCTTTGTCAATATATTAATTGAACATATGCTCATGGGTTTATTTTTGGGTCTCTAGCCTGTTTCATTGATCTATGTATTTGTTTTTATGCCAGTACCATGTTGTTTTGGTTAGTTTGATATCAGGTAGCATGATACCTCCGACTTTGTTTCTCTTTCTTAAGATTGCTGTGGCTATCAGGGTCTTTGTGTTTCCATGTACATTTTTGGAGTGTTTGTTCTAGCTCTTTGAAAAATGCCATTGGTATTTTCATAGGAATTGTGTTGAATCTATAGATTGCTTTTGGTAGTATGGATATTTTAATGATTTTATTTTTTTATTTTACTATAAGCACAATGTAAGTTTATTTCTCTTTTTTTCTTAAGATTTATTTTAATTTATATATATTTATTTTTAAAAATAAATCTTTATTGTTAAAAGTATTACATATGTGCCTTTTTTCCCCCATTTCCCTCCCTATTCCTCCTTCCACCCAAGCCTTCATCACCCTACTATCTGTGTCCATGTCTTATGTACATATGTTCATTGGTTGATCTCCCCTTCTTCACCCTCCCCTGCATTCCCTCTGAGGTTTGACAGTCTGATCTATGTCTCCATGTCTCTGGGTCTATTTTTGTTCATTAGTTTATATTGTTCATTAGATTCCACATATGAGTGGGATCACGTGATATTTATATTTCTCTGACTGGCTTTCTACTTCCATCCATGCTGTGGCAAATGGTAAAAGTTCCTTCTTTTTTACAGCTGTGTAGTATTCCATTGTATAAATGTACCACAGCTTTCAAATCCATTCATCTGCTGATGGGCACTTAGGCTGTTTCCAAATCTTAGCTATTGTAAATTGCACTGCTATGAACATAGGGGTGCATATATTCTTTCTGATGGGTGTTTCTGAATTTTTAGGATATATTCCTAGAAGTGGAAACACTGGATCAAATGGTAGTTCCATTATAAATTTTTGAGGAAACTCCAAACTGTTTCCACAGAGGATGCACCAGTCTGCATCCCCACCAGCAGTGTATGATGGTTCCCTTTCCTCCACTTGCTCTCCAACATCTGTCCTTTGTTGATTTGTTGATAGCCATTCTCACAGGTGTGAGATGGTATTGCATCGTTGTTTTGATTTGCATCACTCGGATGATTAGTGACTTGGAGCTTT